ATTTCCAAAATGAATTCCCATCAAATGGATTGGCACACTTGGTCAATGAGCACTTGCAGTAAATAACCAGCAGTTAAAGCTAGTTACTTAGTGTGCGAAGTCACATTTTTAGCCATCTTTGTGGGAAACTTACTCTTCTATGTCCCCATACTTAAAAGGTTGCTAATTTGTCAAAATACTGTGTTCCTGTGCACAGCAGAACTGCTTGGTTTAAATTATTCAGTCATGAGCTGAACAGCTTTGAATGAGGACCACAGAGTAGCTGTCACTCACTGAGCAGTGCTATTATAATCAAAGTTTCTAGGTGCAAGTTTTAAAATGTCTCTTTAATTGCTGTCATTTCAATAAATTCATCTTTAAAAGCTTGTAAAACACAAAATGTATGTTTTTCCAAACAACTTAGGGTAAGAATCTCTCATGATTTGATTTGATTCTGATTCTTCGTTCCACAATACAATTCAATTCAGAATATTCAATTCAAAAATGATTTAATTCAATAAAAAAAGAAGGGTACTATATTTTGGCTCTTACTTTGGTTTATTGTGTGTCAATCAATTTCTGTCCTTTGCCCACTGAGTTGCTCATAAAGCTTAGACAGTTAAGCTAACTGGTTCTGATGAGCATCAAAACCAAATACTTTACATACTGCTAACCAGCAGCAGGTTAAGTACTTTTAAAAATAGTACTACCTTTACCAGCAACAGCATCAAATGTGATAAACATAATAATAATAATAATAATAATAAGCCAATCTGCAAAATGAATACTCTTACTTTTGGTACTTCAGGTTATATTTTGATGCAAACACTTTTCACTTAATATTACGAATGTAAGGCTTTGAGTATTTTTACACTCTGGTACAGCTAATTTTACTTCAGTAAAGAATCTAAGTAGGCTACTTCTTCCTTTGCTGGTTTTTGGTAACGGAGTGTATGTTGTTGTGAAGGGGAGGGGAGAAGAGCAGAGCACTCGGTTGTGTTGTTGTTAACGTTACGTCTGCAACAGTGGAGAATGGTGTCTGTGTTGCAGTGTTACAGTGCCTTGTGAAAGTATTCGGCCCCCTTGAACTTTGCGACCTTTTGCCACATTTCAGGCTTCAAACATAAAGATATAAAACTGTAATTTTTTGTGAAGAATCAACAACAAGTGGGACACAATCATGAAGTGGAACGAAATTTATTGGATATTTCAAACTTTTCTAACAAATAAAAAACTGAAAAATTGGCCGTGCAAAATTATTCAGCCCCCTTAAGTTAATACTTTGTAGCGCCACCTTTTGCTGCGATTACAGCTATGGCAGCTTGGGAGGTTTCTTCTGTCTCCGTTGCTTTTTTTTTTTTTTTTTCCTGAACCCTTACTTCACATTATCCAGCTCCCACCAGCTGCCCACAAGGCCTTACCCAGCATGCATCTGTGATGGTGTTTCAGGTCACCTGCCTGTCTCTCAGTGGAGGAGCCAGTAGTGGTGAGGCACCTCATCAGCACAGCAGCTGAGTACCAGTCTGGAAAAGGTCTGCATGATCTGCCAGGAGGTTGTGATCAAACATCTGAGCTGGAGGTACTTGTGGGAGGTTGTCGGCAAGTCAAACCATAGCCATTACTGTGCTGTCCATTTTGAAAGTCATTCAGTGGCATTTACGGTCTACAGTCCTTTATGTTGCAGCTCCTCCTGTGGTTATTTTGTGTCCTTACTAATATGCACTTGGTGGAGGTAGATGATACTAAACACACTAGTACCTGCAGAATGTGTACATGTTCAAGTAGGTGATCTGAACCACATAGATCAAAACAGAATCATTCAACATTACAGCCATGATCGTACAAAGCACAGAAATGGTGGCAGCTTTTAGCTATAAAACTGAAATCTTGAAAGTCAGAGCAGACCTAGTGTTTGTTCACGTATTTATATACTTTTCACAAAATAAAATTCTATGTTGATTTTAAGCTATTTCTTTGCTATATGGTTGTTTGCCATTCTGTTTGTTTAGTCAATATAAACGTTAAAAAAAAATAAAGTAGAAAGCAGTTAGAAACTCTCAAACTGAATGTAAACGGTGGTGTTCCTGCTGCTGATACTGTTGACTCATCTGATTGCACACACTCTTCATTCCAGTTTGAAAGTTCTCTGTAACTGTCCACACTGGGAGACAGTGAGGGACAAAACCTGAGGTACTGACCGGCTAAACTTGTTGCACACACAAATAAATGGTAGCTAAAACCTGTTGAACTGACTGTGATAAATGATGGTACAAAGCACCAAACTTCATAAAAGTCAGGTGAGTTTGATCAAATACCTCTATCAGTACACTGTGACAGTATTTTAGGCACAACTTGGTATTTCTGTGACACTGAAAATCATCACTCACATAAGTTCAGTCAGCCAAATTGCAGCTTTAAGGAATTAAAATGTTTAAATGTATAGTTAGTGTAAACTGGTGCTACTGAAATTAACTGATTTTTGTGAGCAGGGTGTCAAGTAATGCTCCAAACACTGATTGTACCTTTTGATCTGGTTTGTGTCCCACTTGTTGTTGATTCTTGTTGTTGACAAATCTCCGTCCCAGTCTCAGGTCTTTTGCAGACTCCATCAGGTTTCCTTCCAGAATGGTCCTGTATTTGGCTCCATCCATCTTCCCATCAATTTTAACCATCTTCCCTGTCCCTGCTGAAGAAAAGCAGGCCCAAACCATGATGCTGCCACCACCATGGTTGACAGTGGGGATGGTGTGTTCAGGGTGATGAGCTGTGTTGCTTTTACGCCAAACATAACATTTTGCATTGTTGCCAAAAAGTTCGATTTTGGGTTCATCTGACCAGAGCACCTTCTTCCACATGTGTGGTGTGTCTCCCAGGTGGCTTGTGGCAAACTTTAAACAACACTTTTTATGGATATCTTTAAGAAAGTGCTTTCTTCTTGCCATTCTTCCATAAAGGCCAGATTTGTGCAGTATACGACTGATTGTGGTCCTATGGACAGAGTCTCCCACCTCAGCTGTAGATCTCTGCAGTTCATCCAGAGTGATCATGGGCCGCTTGGCTGCATCTCTGATCAGTCTTCTCCTTGTATGAACTGAAAGTTTAGAGGGACGGCCAGGTCTTGGTAGATTTACAGTGGTCTGATACTCCTTCCATTTCAATATTATCGCTTGCACAGTGCTCCTTGGGATGTTTAAAGCTTGGGAAATCTTTTTGTATCCAAATCCGGCTTTAAACTTCTCCACAACAGTATCTCGGACCTGCCTGGTGTGTTCCTTGTTCTTCATGATGCTCTCTGCACTTTAAACGGACCTCTGAGACTATCACAGTGCAGGTGCATTTATACAGAGACTTGATTACACACAGGTGGATTCTATTTATCATCATTAGTCATTTAGGTCAACATTGGATCATTCAGAGATCCTCACTGAACTTCTGGAGAGAGTTTGCTGCACTGAAAGTAAAGGGGCTGAATAATTTTGCACGCCCAATTTTTCAGTTTTTTATTTGTTAAAAAAGTTTGAAATATCCAATAAATTTCGTTCCACTTCATGATTGTGTCCCACTTGTTGTTGATTCTTCACAAAAAATTACAGCTTTATATCTTTATGTTTGAAGCCTGAAATGTGGCAAAAGGTCGCAAAGTTCAAGGGGGCCGAATACTTTCGCAAGGCACTGTAGGTATGGCTTCCCTTGTGTCTGGCACTCTTCCTATGTCTTTGAAAGCAATGGCTCTAAGTTGTCAGTTGCTTTGTAACTTAAGTAACTTGCACAAGTGCTCAAACATACTTTGTGTGATTAGTTGAGATCATGTTGCGTAGCATTTACTTAGTTTACAGTGGCTAATGTTAAAACTGCATTGTGCTAATCACATCATTAGCAGGATAAGAGACTTGTGTGCAGTCATTAGCATATTAATAATGGTGCATTCTGAGAGAGGACCATTGCAGACCTGAGAAGATGATGAAAATTACATTGACTTTAGTGGATACAGAAAGCATGACTTGGCCTTTACATAGATCAAGTAGATAAACCTGTGGAGGAACAAAAGCAGAAAAACCTGAAGTGATGTAAATACAAAAGATATCTGAGGAGTGTGTCCAGAGCTAAAGTGTAAACTAATCTACTCTATATTTATCTCAAACACAATACCATGACCACTGCTGGGTTTAACAAGACAGGGTTTAACAAGTTTTATTATGGTTATGTGTTGACTCGCAGCACTTGGTTCAGGCAAGGCAAAACTTAAAAGCAGCTTCAAATTAAACTTTAAAGCAGAATTCAAAACCGAACTCAAGCCACTGATGTGACAGCAGTGCCCACTGTGCTTTTGCCATACACCCTTCTACATACTGTATATCTCTGCTGCTTTAGTATAGAAAAATGCAGCCATCATTCATTCAAGAATTAATGTTATGTTGCATCAGAATACTATAAAATAACCAAATACATTCAGTACAAAAGATCTCAGCACTTGCAGTGTAGTTGTATAGGCAACATAAGAATATAATTTTTAGGAGCGCGAGTGTCTTTTTTTCCCGCCTAAGACTGGCCCTGAAATGCAGAAAAAGTCAGTTACTATTTGGAAGAGCATAAAAGAGTAACAAAGCCTGAGAGTGACCATCTCTTTTTTATAGTGTAGAGTTGACAACCTTGATTTAACAATGGAAAAAAAAAATGTAGATTATAAAGCAATAACTGCCAGTGGCATGATGTCTCAAAAGGCGTATAAAGGGCTGAGCATGTAAGCATAACGAAATAGTAGCCATTACTGTGACAGACACTGATTAATTTGTCGGCAGCCACTGCCAACCAAGCACCTCAGCTCAGTCCGGCGCTCCTACTATATTCACCCATCTGCAGTTCCGAACATTAACGGAAGAATCAAAATTTCAGTCGGCCTCTTCAGTAAACCAAGACAAACACTGCCCCACCTGGAGGATATATACACAACATTGCCAGTGGCTTGCACACACAGTGCTTAGAAGTGTTAACAAGGTGGTGCTGCGATCACTGCAGGGTTCCACTGCAGTCCAGCCAGCAATTTCAGATTGCTGCATCTGTATGCCAGTTAAAACCTTGTCTCTGAAAATTAATTGTAGGACCTTGTTATTAACCCTAATTTGTATTGGCTACTCAGTGGGCATAGGCTATTTAATGTTTGGGTTCTAAGTTAGTGTATCTATTAAAACAAAGATATAAGAACTGTATAGCTAAAATACACAAAATATTTATCTTGTCATCATCACAATAAGGAGCAGTGTTATCACACATTGCATATTTTTCTCATATTGTGCAGGTCTATTGTGGACCCTCCAACACTTTGACCCAATCCCAGTTCACTCACTTGCCCCTATCCTTCCATTTTTTGCATTCAGTATAGTGGTAGGGGCAGAGGGGTTGGGTGAAGTGGTAGAGCTACATAGCGCTTCAAACGTAGGGTTTTCACAAGACAGACTCAAAACTAAATGGTGTGAGGCTAACTACAACAAAACTTACCTGCAGTCAATGCTAAGCTCCTCAAACAAATCAACCAACATTTTCTGGTGTCAAAAACATATCTATCCTGGCATTTTTCTTATTTGCTATTGAAAATCACAAACTGATGCTCATAGATCACACAAGAGAAAACACTACTGAAGAGGGCATTATGTTATTCAGCATTTCCGACAACTCGTAGATAATGAAAACGGTTAAGTTAACATTACCGTTTACTTAGGCTAACCATTGTCATTAACTACCAATCATGCAGAGGTCGTGAAGGGTTGTCCCAATTCACAAGTTAAGATTTCAACCACTATCATCTCCGTTTTGGGGGAGTTAACTTAAAAACGAGGAGTAGGAATAAAAAACAAACAAACAAAAAAAACAAAACAAAAAGAGGATGCATCCGGCCTAGCGTACCATTACATCTGGGCCCGCGAGATCATTTTATATATCTTTTTTTTTTTTTTTAATGGCCCGGCAATATGAAGCGGCGATAACACACAAACTACAAATCCAATAATGCAGCGCAACAGCTGCCTTACCGAACGATAGGCTACCTGCGATCATTCCCACGTCAATTACGTCAGATCAATCAAGCGCCTGTTGATGTATACAATCCTAATTTCAAATCAAAGCTAGCCCCTAACAATAGCCAAGAGAAAAGTTGATTCTGAAAACAGAACCTTTCAAAACAGGTGGGAGGCCGAGTATATGTTTACTGACATTGCCGGTAAACCTTTGTGTCTTATTTGTGGAGCTAAAGTTGCTGTAATTAAGGAATATAACCTAAGACGGCACTATGAGACAAAACATCAGGACAAGCTGAAAAAACATGAATGCAGAGCAGAAGCTACAGAAGGTAGAGGAGTTGAAGAGGAATCTGACATCACAGCAGACGTTTTCACCAAAGCGAAATCATATAGTGAAGCTGCTGTGAAAGCAAGTTTTACTGCAGCAGAGGAGATAGCCAAATCAGCCCGGCCATTTACCGAGGGAGAGTTTCTGAAGAGCTGCATGATGAAAGTGTGCGACATCTTGTGTCCAGACAAAAAGCAGGTGTCTGCAAATGTAAGCCTTAGCAGAAATTCGGTTGCTGATTATAAGTTCAAGTTGATTTATTTTAAAATAATATTGTATCCTGTCTGTTTCGATTCATATTTATGTTCAAAAAACATTTAGTTCGTCTGTTCAATAAATATGTATCCTGTTCGGCCTGCGACCTAAAGTGTGCTTTGAGTTTTGGCCCCATGTGCAATTGAGTTTGACACCCCTGATCTACAGTAAGCAAGCTCTGAATTACATCATGTAACAGCTTTTGCATTTTTTAATTAATAGCAAAGTCTGCTACAGCACTTCTATTCCTTTCATAATTTGTTACTGTATATAGCGCTACCACTCACAAATTCAATAAGTTACAATCAGTCATTTGTCTCAGTTTGAAACAAATATTGCCTTAAGCATCAATGGCTGTTTACAATTACCAGTGTTAACACTGAACATGTACAGCATGTGCGTAAATAACCTACTAGCACTAATGTCAAATGTTCTGGTCTACATATAAATCACAATATCTATAAAGCTTGTTACCTTGCTTCTCCTTCTCCTTGAGAGGATCTGTATTGTACACACGAAATCCATTTTCCATTCCACAGGCAAAGCATCCTGCAGACAGACAAATATAAATTTACTGAACAGTTGGTTTCATATCAAGTCGTAAACAAAATTAAAGACTAAAGAATCTTCCCGACACCCTGAATCTATACAGCAATGACCACCAACGCACATACCAAGAAGAAACTGAGGAGCAGTGGCGGAAAGTAACTAAGTACATTTACTGAAGTACTGTACTTCGGTATAGTTTTGAGGTATCTGTACTTTACCATTTTCATTTTCTATTACTTTATAGTTAGTCACACCTCACTACATTTTAGAGGCAACTATTGTAACTTTTACTCCACTACATTTATTTTAACCTAAGATACTAGTTACTTTCATAACCAGGCTAATTAAAAAAAAAGTTCTAAGACCCTATAAATTTGTAGTGAAAATTCACAAGCTACTGAGCAGTAATTCAAATTAAACACATAAGATAGGTCCCTCTTTCCAAGCTGCAACATTAAATGTGATGCACACAATAATGCATCCATAGCTATAATACAATTTTATGAGAGAAATGTGAAATGTGCCATTCTGTATAATGTGTACTTTTAGTACTTTAAGTATGTTTTGATGCTAATACTTTTGTACTTTTACTTAACATTTTGAATTCAGGACTGTAACAGAGTATTTTTACACAGGATCTGAGTACTTCTTCCGCGCACGGCCCCTGGTCTTACTGTATATCCTCTGTCATGACACAGTGATCACAGCGCCACACCGTTAATGCCCCTGTAAGCACAGTGTGTGCAAGCCACCCAGTGTTGTATACATCCACCAGGCGGAGCAGTGTTTGTTATAGTTTACTACAGAGGGCGACAGACAATTTGATTCTCCCATTAATATCGAGAACTGCTGCTGGGTGAATATAGCCGGAACCGAGCTGAGGCACTTTGTTGGCAGTGGCTGCCGACAAATTAATCAGTGTCCGTGTCTGTCACAGTAATAACTGCTACTTTATGTTTACATGCTCAGCCCTTATACGCCTTTTGAGACATCATGCCACTGGCAGTTATTGCTTTATATCTACAATTTTTTTCCATTGTTAAATCAAGGTTGTCAACTCTACACTATTTTTATAGAGATGGTCACTCTCAGGCTTTGTTGCTCTTTTAATGCTCTTCCAAATAGTAACTCTGACCTTTTCTGCATTTCAGGGCCAATCTTGGCCAAAAAAGATATTATATAACAGGGGTGGCCAACCAGTCAGAGACCAAGAGCCACATTTTTTACTGTGTTACCGCAAAGAGCCACATCATACACATGGGCACACATGAACATCACCCATCCCTTCCTCTCACACACACACACACACACACACAATTTATTGTAAATGTCACACACCAACATGATAATGACAGAAATGGACTCCTACAGTACTAA